ACCCTGCCCGCTGAGGAACAGCTGTCCTTGGCTCCAGCCCTGGTGATCCATGCCCAGTCATGGCCAGTGATGCTGTCCAGGCCCAGGGTTCCCACTCTAGGTCGGGACCCCTGCCCCGCCTCTCCCCCAGCGGCATCTCTCCTCCTGGATGCCACTTGGTGCAAGGCCCAGCTCTGCCTCTCGGCCCAGACACCCATGAAGACACCACTGCACACCAGCAATCTGCAATTTACTCCTACTCGAGATCTGTCATAGGCGGTTGTGTCAGTACTTGTCCCATAGCCTCTGAGCCAGCACTGCCACCGCTGGCCAGGGGAGCCCGGATCACACCCAAGTCTACCTATTTACAGAGTCCATTGGCTCATGGCCACACGGAGCTGCAGCTGCTAACATCCCCCTGGCTATGAGGGAGGTCACCCCAGCTCTGCTCTCACCTCGGTTCCCCCATGCTCTGGAAGAAACTGGCCCTGTTGGGGCTGGGGATTTAGCTCAGCGGCAAAAGCGCCTGCCTGGCAAGCGCAAGGTCGTGAGTTCGGTTCCCGGTATCGGAGAAAAAACAAAAAAAAAAAAAAGAAACTGGCCCTGTTGCCTGCAGCCCTCCAGACCCCTCCGTGCAGCAGGCTTATGCCCTCAGGGTACCCACTTTTGGTCCACATGGACATCTTCCAGGAGAACCCTATATTTTCCCTAAGGACAATGCTGGCAATCAAAAATAACTTTCCCCTTTAGATTCCATACACATTATAGTCACTATCTGACAGACGAAGAAAAGGTGGCTCAGAGAGGTTAAGTGATTTGGCCACAGGACACACAGCCAGAAGGAGATTTTGGAGCAGAAGCTCCATCTGGGTGGGACAGTGGAGCTTCTGGCTCTGCAAACATGTAGACCTAGATCTGACCCTAGCTCCTCTGACCTACTGTGACAGTGCGAGTCACAGCCCAGCAGATAAGTAATGAGATGACATACTCAGAGGCTAGCAAAGTCTGTGCATGCAGTAGGTGCTCAGGCAAATGCAGCAGCTGCTGACCTTACTGGTGAGCTGACCACCCCTGCCCTCCCCATCCCACCACACGCTCCTCCTCCATTCCATTTCCAGTCCTCATCTTCTTCCACAGACAGCTCTGAAGTTTCCCCTTGATCCAACCCACTTGCCTCTTCTCCAAAGCCTGGCAAAGATGGAAGAACAGGATACAGCGTTGGCTCTGGGCTCCTCTCCTTTCTTCCTTCACTTGTACTGGGGCCTTTGGAGGTCTCTGATGAGCCTCAGTTTCTTCATCTGCATCAATGGGTGATACTTTGCAGCCCACAGGCTTGTGGCGACATCCGACAGCATGTGAAATAGTGCTGCTAATGGTGAGCTGGTGTCCAAGCCCTGCCTTGGGGCTCCCACCTATCTGCCTTTCTCTGTGTCCCCTTGGCAACCTGGAGCTTGACTGATGTCTTCCTTCCCAGGTCTCATGATCTCTTTCATGCAGACACCAGCACTGAGGAGCTTATCAGACACTGGTGAGGAATGAGCCCGAGGTGTGGAAGTGGCTGGCCTAGCCTGCAGGACAGGTATGCATCCCAGGTATACATCCCAGAAAAGGATCTCTGTGCCATGCCAGAGGTACAACTTGGAGACGGGCACTTTGGTCCTGTGTTTTCTGTGCTAACAGGACATCCAGGCAAGCTTGGGAGGGGCAGGATCTCAGCGCCAGTGGGCAGCAGGCAGTGACCTGTGTTCTGCCTCACCTCCCTCCACCAGAGCTTTCACAACTGGCCAAAGACACAGCATATTCTTTAGTTAAGATTCTGAGGCCAGGAGGAAAGCAGGAAATGATTCATTCTCTCCCTCAGCCAATGTACATAAAGGCACATTATTAATATTTACTCAGGGGCTTCTCCAAGGACCACAACCACAAATCATGGGAGGGGAGTGAGGGAGGGGAGTGAGGGAGGGGAGGCTCTGCAGAGTTTGCTCAGACAGGGCAGAGGGACCTGCCAACATCTGCAGGATGCAGTGCCCACCACCATCAGGGCTACAAGGGGCCCCAGAGCAGGCAGAAGACCCGCCCACAGTGCCCCAACAAGGTCGTGGCCAAGCAGGGAACAGAATCTGGGGCGTGGATAGATGGAAAGAGTCCCAGAACCCTTGTCTGCAAAATGAGGAGATAAATATTGCCCGAACAGGTTTGAGGGAAGCATAAAGGACTGCCCATGGCATCTGGCCAGGAACAGGGGCCCCGCAGATAACATCAACAGCAGGGGGAGATGCACGGACTGCCCTGCCTCCATTTCCCAGGGTGCTTTGCAGTGAGGAGGCAGGCCGGGCTGGGCTAATGAAAACCAGGCAGAGAAGGTATCAGTTACTCCACACAGGAAATGGTCCCTCTTCCAACCCCTTAGCAATCTGCCTTCCCAGGGGCCAGGCAGAACCCTGTCCACCCCGCTTTGCCCCCAGAAGCCCTATCCCCCGAGCTCTGAGAGGCTCAGCATCCCCCTCCCCCATTCTGCCGCCCTCTCCATGTCACTGCCACAAGGAATGAGGTTCAGATGTCATGTTCTACCTGGCAGGCGCCTGCTGACAGCCTCTGTCACTCTGCAGCGGTAATTGCAGCTCCTTGCCTCCCCTTTATGCCCCGCTCTGCACAGACTCCTTTCTGCCTCTGCCAGGGAGTTTATTAAATAGTTTATTAAATTGCTCTGCCTTGGCTTGCAAACTGTCTCTTTTAGAGATGAAAAAAAAAAAAAAGAAAAAAAAAACCAAAGAGGCGAGATGAACTTCCTGAAGGCCACACAGCTAGAGGAAGACAGAGCTGGGAGTTTGCGACTAACTCCGATGACTGCTGGCCCTTGGGTGACTTAGGCAGGCAAGCTGGGGAGGGGACAGAGGGTCAGAGAAATGCCATCTGGTGGAGGAGCAATGCGTTTCAGAGGTAGGGAGGATGGTAGTCACCAGGCCTCTTTCTTCAATCAACAAATGCTTAGCCCTATCCAAGCATTCACCTAGCACCTACCAAACGCCCTGGGGATTCAAGAGAAATTCACAATCCCAAACTTCATAAAGTCCAAGATCCAGTGGGAAAAGATAGGACAGATAAACACATACAATGGTGTGTGGTGTGACATGACAGGCAAAGCATAGGGGCTGGCGGTTGAAGAAAGGCTTCCTGAGGGACCTGGGGAGACCTGAACAAGTACATTGTAGTTCTGGCACCTTGCGTCTTTGGGGAGAAGAGCTTTGCTGGCAATTACGGTTTTTATGGGAGTCAAACATGGGCTGGTGTTGGTGTCAGCATCAGCCTAGAGCAGCCAGGTTGACCTCCTAAAACTGGGTGGAGCTGTTAGTGCTCCTGGAGTTGTTTTTGCTCTATGAGATGATATCAGTCCGTAAAATCCTGCCGGTTCTGGTCCCTTTGTTCGTGTGTGTGTGTGTGTGTGTGTGTGTGTGTGTGTGTGTGTGTGTACACTGTGGCGTTTGGAAAGCGCTTGCAGGCTGCTTATCCAAGGCTGTGTAGCTCCTGGCTGTGGGTGAGGCTGAGAGAAGAGACAGCAAATCCTGAAGGGAGAGAAACAGAGGGGACAAGGGCAGCACCAGTTTCTCTGGTTTCCCCGTGAAGCCCCCAACCTCCCCTCCAATAGCATCCTAGAGCAGCGCCCCCCCCCCCCGGCCCCTGACAGTTTGGCTCCAGAGATCAGTTTTGTGGAAGAAATTTCCAATGCTTCCGTCGACCAAGGGTGGGTGGATGGGGCAGTGGGGGAAGGCCTGGGACCGGTCCTTGGCGACCAGAGGCTGGGACCCCTGTCCCAGAGTCCAGGGTCCTCACACTAACCCTGCCTTCAGGGCAGCCCAGCAGGCTTTGTCCCTTGAGACTCCAGGAGCCTTGGTTCTAAGAACAGACAGCTGGCCTCCAGAACACGTGTCTCCTGTCCCCTCCCCACACAAGGGGCAGACCGCCTGGCAGTGCTGAGGCCGAGGGCCCTGCACACCGCACACCAGGCTTTCGATTCCTCTCTGCCTGTGCACCCACCTCTCCCGCACAGCTGATCCTCCCACATCCAGGCTGCTCTTCCTCCGCTCCCCCTCCGCGCACAGGGCGTCTTGCACTCCTCTAGTCCCCCCAGCACCTCTGTGGCCCCTGGTGCCGTGCGTCCTGGGCTGGCCATGCCAGGGACAAAAGAGGGTCCAGTCCCTGTCCTCGGGTCTGGCTGGGGAAACAGGGCTCACTCACATCCCCCACAAGACCAGCGCCGGGGCGGGGAGCCCAGGGCAGCAACGGAGGCCCTGGACAAGGTCACTTCTGGGCGGAAGTGGTGCCTGGGCTGAGACCTGAAGGGAAAAGGTGGCGGGGGACACTGAAACGGAACCAAGGAGCTGGTACAGGCCAGCCTCGGGCAGAGAGGAGCCTGGCACCCTAGCAAGGGTCAGGCAGCTCGCCTGGCTGGCGCGGGCGGGGGGCGTGAGTACAGGGGGAGGTGCAGGAAGTCAGGGGCGGGTCCACCGGCCCCAGAGGGAGGGGAGGCGGCTGTGCTATTCGGACTCTGCTGCACACTGGGGCATTCACATTTTCACTCCCCCTCCATCTCTCTGCCCTCCCCTCTCTTATATTCCTCTTTCCCTCCATTTTTCTTCCTTTCCTCCCCCTCCCGACCCCTGCCGAGACCTTTCCCCACCTCCAGGGCACCCACGCTCGTCTCACCTTTGCGATGGCCCACAGCGCCACCTGCAGGCCAGAGCCGGGGCAGCCCCTCGGCGTCGCCCACCTGACGGAAGACGCTGCTCCGGCGTCTCTTCCACCCAGAGAAGGGCTGCGCCAGCCCTGCCGCCCTCAGCCTCGGTCCGGGCCGGCTGCTCTGACCCTAGCCCCATCCGCTCCCCAGCGGCCAGAGTGTCCGGTTTAATGACAGAGTGCTCTGCCTTCCCAGCCCTGCCCCCATTGCTGCGCGGCCAGGCGTGCCTGCCAGCGTCTCTACTCTCTTGCAGGGGAGGGCGGTCCACAGGGTCATCACACCCATCTTACAGACGAAGAGACGGACGTCGGCCATCCCGGGATCCGGGCTTTATACTTATTTGTGCCTCAACTCTAGGGTTGCCTACACTGTGGTGAGGGCTCTGGGCCCAGGGACAGGATGCTAAAGGCCGTGGGGAGACAGTTCTAGCGCCGTGTGCTAGGAGATAGGACGGGAATGTGCTAGGAGATAGGACGGGAATGGGCCAGGTACTGGGAGCCGGGAGCAGGTGCGGGAGAGCCAGGGAGCTCCGGAAGAGGGAGGGGAGATCTGGGTGGAGGTGGTGAATCATCCGGAGTGAGAGTCCGGGATGCAAAGAGCAGAGCCCTTCAGAGCAGGGAGACCCGAGTGTGGGATGCGGAGGAGGGGTCAGGCGGGGACAGTTTGGGGCTCCCTCCAGCAGCCCTGGGTAGGCGAGGTGTGATAGTGATGATGATAACAGTCACCCTCAACCCTCCTGAGCACCCCTGTCGGCCGCACACTTTCAGGTACTTCACCTGCTTCTTTCCTTCATCCTAGGAGGCAGGCAGGATGGCCACCCTCTGCTTCATGGAAACAGGCGAGGAGAGGCTGTCACTTACCCCAGGCCACTGGCAAGGACAGGAAGTGAAGGTGAGAGGGGAACAGCTTGGGCACGGGCTGTGATGCCATTCAGACGCTCACTCCCAAAAGAGCATATGTCCTTAGAGATGCGGGGCGGGGAGGCCTGCCTGCCTCTGCCTTAAGTGGGTAGATGAGGCCAGAGCCACATAAGCTAGTGACTAGGGAAAAGCCCTACAGTCAGAGATAAATCCTAGAAGGAAAACGGCAGGAGAGGGACCCAGCAACTGTGCTGTGAGGTCCTCCCCCCCTGCCCTGCTGAGCACTGCAGGGGTGCAAAGAGAGAAGGCTCCAATGGGTCACCTCTGGGAAAATTCCCCTGCAGACCTTTCTGGGTGGGCCTCTTTCTGCCCCAAATATTAGTTTCCAACCATTCCCCATGGGGTATCTCAGATTAATAGGCCCAAAATAGCACGGTTTTCTGGCCTCCCCTGTCCGCCTCCAGGGCCAGGGGGTGGAGAAAGGCAGCTCAGACTTTCAGAAACAGCCTGCCCGCCACGTCCTCGAGGGGAGGTAAGGAAGAGATTTCCTACCTCATGCTGTTTGGTTTTGAATAACTCTCTGCGTTTTCTATAAAATATTAGACACAGAATCTTAAAGCAATAGTCTTAGATCCTTAGATTTAGCATCAAATTATAGACTCTAAAACTCGCAGAATCATGGAGGGTTAGAAATAGAATACCTTAAATTTATGACATCATTAAATTATGGATTTTTAGAATTAATAAAACAGAATCTTGAAAACCTCAGAACCTCAGGATTTTAGAATGTAGAGTACAGGGAACGTGAATGTCAGCTCCGGCTCCGCATTCACTAGCTGATGCCTTTGAGCCTTGACTTGCTCTCTCTGTGCCTTGGTTTCCTTTTTTATTAAAGGGGACAATAATAATGTGTACCTGACAGGGTTCCTGGGGGGATGCAAGGAGTTGCTATATGCAAAGAGCCAATACCAGGCCATGTGGCAAGCTGTGAGCTGTACTAATTCCCTCCCCACTAACCTAGTTCACTTGCCCTTGTAACACAGCTGAACAGGCCACCCAGTCCTCTGCCAATCCAGCTTCTCTGCAGGAGGCCGCCCATCCCAGCCTAGATTCCTACTGATTCCCTCCTAACCTAAGATCCTGCATTCGTCAGGCTTCTTCTTACAGAGACACAATACGCGACACCCACAGTTTAAAGGAGAAGTTTAATTTGGTTCATGTTCTATGTGGATTCAGTCCACGGTCAGCTGTCTCTAAAGCAAAAACACTGTGGCAGAAGGGTGTGGGGGAGGGGAGCAGAGCTGCTTAGTTCATGGCGGTCAGGAAGCAGATCAGGGGAGCAATGAAAGATGGGAAGGGGGAAGGGAGTAGACCCAGACCCCAGGGTCACTCGTCTGTGACCCACCCAGACATGTCTGGAAGTGTGCTCCACCGATTCCCTGGGCAAGTCCCACACTGATCAACTTGACACAGTCAAGCTTAAACGTCGCAGAAATCCACAGCCACAGAAAGTGACCTCTTATTACTCCCCAGCCTGCCCTGCCTCAGCATTTCCTGCCTCTATCATCCCAATACTGTCCTCCAGTGATGAGGCCCCTTCCTCTCTCGACACCAGCAGGACCTGTGGGACCTTTCCCCGCCCAACTGCCCTTTCCTTTTGTTCATTTCCCACAATTCTCTGGCCTCCTCCCAGTTCCCAGGGTTCCTAGGGGCACTGACATTCTGCCTTCCGGACTCCCAAAATGCAGATACCCCTGCCTGACAGATACCCCTTGACAGAAGTACCACTCATTCCCCTGAGGTCAGAGGAGGTGTGTGTTGCCTAAAAGGATCCCTGCAGTGGCTTTACCTGGGGATGGGTGGAGGCCCTGGGTTGAAACAGAAGGCATTTGGAGCACCCTGGCCCCGGGACCACAGCACCTGAGTGACTGCCTGCTCTGTTTCTTTGACTCTTTCCTCCCTGGGGCTTTGTACTGGGACTGAAGGAACCACAGCCCAGACTGGCCCCTGGAGAGAATGCGCTCACTGCTCTGTCTCACGGAGGGTGCCCGCCTGTGATCCTGCTGCAGTAATATATAACTAGCAGCAAGAGTTCCCCAGCTTTGCTTTGCAGGGCTTCAGGAAAGAGCAGAAGCTAAACAGCTGGACATCCACAAGGACCCCGTCACCCCTAAAAGGCTTTTTCTGGCTGGGCAGAGAAACGGGTGCCATTCCCAAATCAGGCTCGCAACTGCAGTACTTGACTTTCCCTAAAGGGGACACTTAGACTGTTTCAGCTAAACGTTTGTAGGGTGAGGGGTGAATAGAAATTGTCTTATTCCAGAAGTCCGGTGGGAAGTCAGTCTGGGCTACTTTTGTATTTTTATGTTATTTCTCATTTGCCTTCACCCTTATGCTTTTGTGGCCAAGACTCAGTGAGCAAAAGCAGAGTTCAGAAGCTCAAGTATCTGGAGTGCCCCAGAGTCAGAGGAGACACAGGAGGGCTTTGGAGCTCTGTGATGCCCAGGCTGCAAGCTCAGCCTTGGGAGGACCAGGGACTGGGCTCTGATGACTGGAGGAGGTGCCAGGCAGAGAGCGGCTCTGGGGAGAAAGACCAGCCTGAGGTGCAGACCCTCTCCTCCCAGCCCACCAACTGTATGTGGCCGGGACAGTGGGGGTCCCTGCTCCCCAGACTCCCCAGACACCTCCGACCTGCCCATGCCCTGCTCCTTGGCACTTGCGGTCCCCTTCCAGGATGCCCTCTTCCTACTGATGGGATCCCCCAGCCCCATGCCCTCCCTTTAGGTCTTCTGAGCGGCTCTCCAGCTCCCCTTTCCTCTCCCTACCCCAACACCACACCATTGTGCTTTGAGGACCTGTCCAGCGCCAGCTCTTCGTATTTTTGAAAGTTCCTTCCTCCATCACATCAAGCATCTTCAGATCCCACATTAAATCAATGTTTATGTAACTATGGAAGAGCCAAGCAGAGCAGAAAGTGACTAGTTGACAGTGTTTCATTTTGTAGATATCTAATTAAACACGTATCAATTTCAGTGTTGCAGTTTTATTTGTATTTTAATCTCATAACGTTTTTTCAGTCCTTGAACATTTCCATGGGCCCTTAAGTGCTCTGAGGCCCTGGCACTGTGCCCACAGCCAATCATCAGAGGAAGAGACTGTGGTCCACCCACTGCCCACCCTACAGGCAGGACCAGCATCTCCTCCGGACCCTGCGCAGCACACATGCTGATGCCCCGTTATCATCAGTCCGCGTCCTTCCTGGGACGTGGCAGGGATGGAGTCTTGCATTTTAGACGCTGTGTGCTCAGCCCATGGCCAGACCCAGAGAAACAGCAATGAAGCTCTTGGGGAAACGAGCAGGAGAATGAGACCTCGCGGCAGCACAGGCCCACAGCAAATGGCAGGCAGGGGTATCTGCATTTTGGGAGTCGAGGAACCCACGGATGGATTTCTTAGGTCTCCGCTGGCAGAGGCTCGCTTTCCAGAGGCAGGTTGTCTCCCTGCTGTGAGACCAAATCAGTGCTACTTCTGAGGGCCCGCCATGACCCAGGTGTTGCATGAGCAACAGCCTCGCTCGCTCACTCTGGTGTCTGCACCCATCAGAGCTCCTGAGGGGGATGGTGTAGGGCAGGGCTGATCACTGGTGTGCTGGACTCCCTTCTTCCTTGGCTCCAGCAGGTCGGGAGGATCCAGAGGGAAGCTGTGAGGAGCAGATGAGGGACACGAGATAGAACCGACTCACCCACCCAACCACCTTGGTCCGCTGCGTGCTGCTGTAACATAGTACCACAGCCTGGGTGATTTATAATGAGCAGAGATTTATCGGCTCACAGCTCTGGGGGCTGGAGTCCAAGGTCAAGGTGCTGACATCTGCTGAAGGTTGCTGCGCACGAGGAGGGCAGAAGGGCAGAGAGAGAGGACCCGACTCCCCGTTGCACAATGCTTTTATTAGGGCATCAAGTCTGCCCGTGAAGATGGAGTCCTCATGACCTAATTACCTCTTAAAGGGCTCCCTTTCCAATATAGCTACTCATGAAGTTGGACAGGAGAAACATTCAAACCACAGAACACCCTCTTTATAGGGAAAGGGAGCTTCAACAGCAGTGTGGCTGGTCAGACCTAGATTTGAGTGTGCAGAGGTCACATCTAACCCTGAAGGGATGGATGATCTCCCATTGCCCACAGGCTAATGTCCTCAGGTCTTCCAGACCCCTCTGGCCTATCTGTGCTCACCTCTCTGGCCCCATTTTATACCACTCTCACCCTCTCCTACTCCACTCCAGCCAGGCTGGCCTTCTTCACTCCCCTTCAGCACACAAAACACACACCCACCTCAGGACCTTTGCGCTAGCTGCTCCCTTTGCAGATATCCATGTTCATCACTCCCTGATTTATCCATGTTCTTGATCAACTGTCACTCACTAGAAAAGTTCTCCCTTGACCACCCATGTAAAAGCCTCCATCTTCCTCCAGGGCCCCTCCACCACCAGAGTAGTTGGCTAAAAGTTTGGTGAGGAAGCCTCCAATCATGCTGTATGTCAGGCTTCCAACTGCCCAGAGCTGCACCTGTAAACTTACTGATTGTCTCAGCAGTCCGAGGGAGGAAGTACCGTCTTCCCCTTATACAGGTACAGAGAACGAGGCTCGGGAAGGTAGAGTGATCTGACTAAGGCCACACAATTTTATTAAGCAGCAGAGCTCATTCCCTGTCTGTATCCCTCCTCCCTATTAGGTGAGACAGAAACAGAGATGGAGATGGAGCTGCGTGGCACTGGAGGTGGTAGCTGGTGCCGTGGTTTCCAATGAGACTGTCTGGAGTGGCTGGGGACGTGCCAGCGCCCAGAGCACAGGAGCAGCACCAGGATGAGGCAGGAAACCAGCGAGGTGGGCTGAGAACAAGCACTCAGAGAGGCGGGGGGAGCGCTGAGAGAGGACGGACGATGCGGAGCGAGGAAGCGAGAAGGGGCGGCGGGGGAGGGTCGGGGGTGGCAGACAGCAGCGATCGGGACAGTCAGTCCAAGGTGGACATCGGTGGCCAGTGCGGGCATTCGTGGTCAGTGGGGTCCGTGGATCTCAACAACAATTCACAGAGATGAAAGGGCATCATCAGTACCTCCTGCTGACCGCTGGGGACACAGTGACCACCCTTTCACCTCTGTGAATTGTTATTGAGATCCATGGACCCCGCTGACCACGAATGCCCACGCTGGCCACCAAGTGGCCAGGTGCCATGACGTCCTAACTGTGCAAATGTGAGCAACGCTCTCCCTACCTGTGCTTCTTGGTTTGTGCATCTGCAGAATGGGAACAATGTCTACCCACCACCTTGTAGTATCATTGGGGAGTTTAACTAGAATGAGGCAGAGGAGGAAACTGCTTCTCAGAGATGTGAAGGTGTGTGCCCACAACTCACTGGCCAGCTGTGCAACAAGATGCCAGCTTCACACTCCTCTGTTCTAGCCCTTGCTCCCACACAGTGGGGCTGTGATTTTACTTTTTAAGCCTCTGTGCCCTTATCTATGCCTTACCTATGTCCTCATGCAGGTTTTCTGTCATCTTTTGCAGTCTGGTGCTTAAACTACCTGGTACTCAGTAACACTCAAGACCTGAGCGTTGAGATGGTAATAACAAACAGGGGTTGAACTGAGCAGAATTAATCAGGAGAGGAGAGCTGATGATGGACACCGTCTGATGCCTGCACCAGCACATCCCCTTTCTTCCTAGTCCCTCCCCACTGCCGTGCAGAAGGGGCTCCAGAGGCTTCTGATGACTGTGGGGCAGGCAGGGCAGCTGACTCTTGCTCTGCACCCGGGCTGCTGCCATTCCTCCCACAGGAGATTTGCCAGTCAGCACAGGCCCCACAGAGATCCCTTGCTCTTCTTTCCCCTGGGGGTGGGGAGCTGAGGAGGGTGGGAAGGGTGGGGGTGGGGTGCATCTTAGCCTCCCTGGCTCATCGGTGGGCAGCCCCACCATAGTCAGGCTCTTTTCCTGATCTAATTAGCATCACTGAGAATTAAACTACACAGCCCTGAAGTGAGCCTGCTTCCCCAAGAGCCTTCCAGAATTAACCCTGAGTACAGGTGAAACCTTTCCGTGCTTCAGGGCCTGGAGTTCGGGAGGCACTAACCAGAGACGGGAGCTGCAACTGCTGCCTCTGATTATGCAATGTGTGTTCTCAAGCAAGGGGAAGAGATGAGGAGAGACGGGAGGGTGGGAGAGGAGAGGAGAGGAGGGGACTTAGAATAGAATCCACCCTTCCAATCCCACAAATAAAATCGATTAGCAACATTCTGGTTGTTTCTCTTCTATTTAAAAGAACATGAGTGGTTTTATTCTTTTCTCCCTTCCCATTCCATCTTCTCATTCCCCTTTCTAGCCAGACAATTTGCTGAGCACTTACTGTGTGCTACAGATGACAAATAAACAAGTCAGACAGGGCGCCCACAGTCAAGAGGGGGGGCGTATCTGTTCAAAAAACTGCCCCAACAGATCGGTGCAGCTTGCCTCTGGCCAGGGCCAAACATGCTGCACACAGAAGGTTAAAGAGGGGACCTAACCCAGATGGGAAGACTGGGTGTCTTAGACTGAGATTTGAACTGAGACTGGGCGGGCTTTTGCATTTGTTGCTCCCTCTACCTGAAATGCTCCTCCTCAAACATCCGCATGGCTCCTGCCTTACCGCCTTCAAGCCTTTGCAAAATGTCCACGTTAACTACACCCTGTGGCATCTCCAGGTGTCTTTTGTTTTTATGTTCCCCTTCTTTCATGTTCCATACCAAGGTATTTGGTCTATGTGTTTACAGTCCATCCTCTCCGCCCCATAGAAGATAGGCTGTCTGAGACCAAAGATTATCTTTTTGTTTCTTTGTTTGCTGTTGTGTTTTTTCTCTGCTGGAGAATGAATTACCCTGTTGATCATGCTGAAGGGCGTGGACCTTATCCTTAGGGCAAAAGAAACTACCCTACACTTTTAAGGAAGAGAGAGACAAGGTCTGATTTAAAAAGATCTCGTCACAAGAATCCAAGGAGACAACATTCTGGGAGGACCCTGGGGCGTCACTGTGCTGATGGAGAGGATGTGGGCCAGTGCTGTGGCAGCAGAGATGCTTAAAAGGGCGCAGAAGAAGGAGAAATAAGCAATAAAGCCACCCCCAGAGAGCCTTGGGACCCGAAGGGCCGTGGGGTGTGCAGGAATGTGGGGCAGGGCAGCGGGGTTAAAGTCCAGGTTCTCAAAGTTGGTGACCAGCCTGGCAAGAGACGGCCCAGAGGGGCTCCGTTTAGACAGGACACAGTAGGGAGCCGTGGCCACCAGGCTCACACCCACAGCCCGCTGGTGGACAGCAGGATGTGGACGGAGCTGGGAAAAGGGAGCCAGCAGGAGGTGAAGGATGCACTAGGCCCCGCGGGTGAGGAAGCAGGAGGATCTAGCTTGCTGCTCTAAGCCCCTGTGATTCCCATCCGAAACACGCTGCAGGGACTGGGGGCATGTTGGTGCATAATCAGCGCCCTACCTCGTTAGCAGGGTTCTGGGGTGCTGTGGGATCCTTCTAGAGGTTCTTTCCAGGTTTTTGTTGTCCTGTACAAAGAATTGGAAAAGAAAGGCACCAAAGGTAGTGAGGTTTTACATTTATTAGAGGTAGGAAAAGACGTATGCTCTGCAGAGTGAGTGGGCCACTCAAGAGAGAGCACGGTGGTCACGGGGTTGTTGGTGGCCGTCGTTTGCATCTCCCATTCAACAGGCCGTCGTCAAATCTAGGCCATCCTATCAGAAACCTCCTTGATCTCACGCCAGAAGAATTGAAGACAGCATTTTTTGGGTTGGTCCCAGGTGCAGAACTTGAGAACTGTTTTTCTGTGCGTGTGTCCTGGATTTCCATGGTTGCCCACTTTGCTCTGCCCTAATCTTCTGTCTCAGCCTCACCTGGCTGTGGATCTGGCCCCCTGGCTGTCTCAACCTGGGTGGCGGATGAGCCATCCTCCCCCGTGCAGCTACGACAGGGGCACAGCCTTGGTGGGCACCTGCCTGAGCTGTCCCTTCCCCTCGCCACTCCCCTGGTAGGGTGGGGCTGGGCCTCAGCCAGAGAACTCAGGTTGCCTTGGAAACCTCTGGTCCAGAGCAGAGGTTCCCAGCCAGGCTCTAGCACCATGCAGGGTCCACCTGAGCTCAAGCAGGGTCCCAGCCCCTGGCCTCCTTCTTCGTCCCACTCCAGTGAGTGCTAGAAACCCCTCCCGCCTCAGTCAGAAGCCCCATACAATGATCAGGCTCCCTCTGGAACCACATCTCCACTGGCCACTTCGAACTTGACCTGTGGCTCAGTCCCCTGCTTTCCGTAGGGCAGTGATGGCAAACCTGTGGCAAGCACAGCCCTCTCTGTCAGAGGCAAGCCAAGTTGCCTCAGCATCTGAGCATTGAATAACAGTTGTTTTCTAAGCTAAAGCCTCGGTATTCAGGTTTCATTGCAGCATTAGCACTTTGTGATAAATAAGTGGGTTCTGGGTAAGTTTGGGCACTCAGTTTCTAGAAGTTTCTCCATCACTGCTCTAGGGGACATCCAAGGGCCTGGCAGGGACAGCATCAGCTTCCCCCTCATCTCCAGGCCCGGAATCTTGGTCAAGCCTTTGGGGGTTCAGCCATTTCCTCCCTCTGCTCAAGGAAGCGCACCCTGGTAGGCCATGTCCATGTAGACCCAAGCCAACTGGCTTCCTGAGGGGTGGTCCAGCCTCGGCTGCCCATAAGACAAGCCACCCACACCCATGCCTCTTCACTGTCCTCCTTGCTCTGAGGCAAGAGCATGTGTGTCCTGGGTTTCATGGTTGCCCAGATATACACTCCATCCTAGAGCTGTGGTGGCCACCAAGGAAGCCAGGTGAACGCCCTGTGTATCTGGGGGCTAGATAGGGGACCCAGCCCTCCCCAGAATCTGTGCAGCAGAGCAAGAGACTAACAGAGGTCCACAGACCTTCAGGCTGCCCATTAAAAGGAGGAATCACACTAGCAGCTTGTTAAACTAAGTAAGTTCCACCCTCCTGCCTCAGTGAATTCCTGAGCTCCGCACTGCAATGTGAGGAGGGCAGAAAGCTGGCCCCAGTCCCTGACCCAGCCTGGGGCACCCGTTCCGGCCCTCCCTGCCTCAACTCGGCCCCACCCCACAGTCTCCACACACAGCTGTGTGCCTGCAGTGTAGGAGGGACACACAGGCACAGAGAAAATTCCTTGTGGCTCCAGAAGTGGCCTTAGGGCAGGGGATTCTGGTTCAGGTATCCAGAGCTGGAGCAGATCTTCCTAAATCCTGGCCGCATTAAGGCCCTTTGCTCAGGTCTGGGGTATAGAGAGGCAGGAGTCATCTGATCAGTGTGACCAGGACCTGAGGCAGCCAGGGCAGTGGGTGCGGGAGGGGGGCCAGTTCAAGAATCAGGTTTGGCAGGCACGTCAGTGAGAGGCGAGCTAGGGATACCCTTGTTTTTAATTCAGGTGGTGAGTTCAGGGCAACACCGAGTTGGAGATGCAGCAGAAGAGCAGGCTGATGGGACATCAAAGATTCTGCTGTGAAGCCACAAAGAAGGAGCCATGGCCACCAAGAGTGCAGCAGCTGCAGGAGCCCCACAAGGGAAGACCCAGAAGGCAGACACAGACTATCCTGCTTGTACTGGATTGACAACTGGTGGTCAACTTATAACACCCTGCGGAACTGAGTAAGCATGGTGCTTGGAGTGGGAGGCCTGCCTGGGAATTGTTGCCAGCAGCATAAGAGGCAGAACTGGAGAAGAAGAAGTAAAGGCTGTTGGGAGCTGGCAGAAGCTGTTGGAAGCTGAAAGAAGCTGGTAGAAGCTGTAAGGAGCTGTTGGTTCTCTTGGAGGAGCTTGTCGTGCTGGCTTTCCTGATGAACTTGGCTGTTTTCATCCTCCAAGCAGCTCAGGACCTTGTTGTCGCTGAGAATGGCTTCGGTGCACCTTGAGGGAGTGCTCTGGTCCTCACTCTGAGCATTGCTTCCTGGTTCTGGAGGAGAAGATGGTGCACTACTCAGTCTCTTGGAGAAGTTTGTCACGTTGGCTTTCCTGATGGGAATTCGGCTGTCCTGATCATCAGAGGAGCTCAGGACCTCACTGTTGCTGAGGATGGCTGTGGAGTTGAACTGCCTCAGGTCCTGGTCACCCTGATCAGATGGCTCATGCCTCTCTATGCCCCAGACCTGAGCAAAGGGCCTTAATGGGGGCAGATGCTCACAGATGCTGAGGATGACTTTTCAGGGGAGTTCTGGCTCTTATTTGAGCGTTGCTTCCTGGCTCCAGTGTAGATCCTTCAGCCTGCTAGCATAAATCCTTCATCCCCCTGGCACAGACTTTTTAGATTCCACCACTGACCTTTGGGCTTTCCAGTGCAGATCCATGAAACAGGCCTGCATGAGATATTGTTATGGGCTCCAGGCCCTCAGCTGGTCAAGATTCTTTGGTCTTTAGTGTGTGGACAGATTTCTTGCACTCTCTTGTACAATTCTTTGGGAGACTATTATAAATAATCTTATAAAATATGTGTCCTGTATTATATTGTTCACCTTGCAATAAACCCCAAACCATGGCACTACTCAACATCATGCTTCCTGCACTCGGAGTCCCTCGGCATCGGTCCTGGCTCAGGAAGTGGAGGGAGGGATTTGGACACACACTGTGAGTGGGCCACCAGTATGGGAAGCACTCCAGAAGGGAAAAAGAAGAGAGTAGAGCACCGGGGAGAGCTGGGGAGACCCACCCTGGTTCACCCCAGCTGGGCCCACAGAGCTGACTTTCACCTGGGGAAGCAGGAGGGAGTTGGCCTGGTGCCCTCGCCTTCCGTGACCTGGCCCTGCCCGCTAGCAACAGTGGCCCTATCTATGTCCCACCACTGAGCAATCACACCCACAGCGCTTCCTTCCCTGGAGAATAGGAGGGGCCTTAAAGGGACACTAGTGGTGGATCTGGCAGGAGCAAAGGACAAAGGACAGAAGTTTCATCCCCAACACTGATGAGTCAGAATGTGATAACTGCTATAATAATCATTCAAAATCAGCTGGGGATACCAGGGGAAGGACATTGATTTCAACAGTGAAGTGAAGAAATCCTTATGGAAGGCCTGCCTTAACTCTGGCCTTGAAAGCGGGGTGGTATTTCAACAGGCAAAGATAAGGTTCAGCAGGGAGGGCGGGACGCCCATGAAACAGCATGCTGAGGGTGTGGGCTGGGCACACTTGGTAATGCTGTCCCGGCCCAGGATACTCAGAACAAAAGGTACATTGGATAAGGTCAGAATTAGA